TATATAGAAAGTAGCTTGACACTGGAAACCAGTAGTGCAACCTAGCAAGGACTGGGTTCTGTAGTCTTTAATTTTGATATAGGTAGTTCAGGCAACCCCAGCTATGTGCAGGTGGTTGTCTTGTATAGCTCTAGCTAGGCTAAAAGGCTGCACCCACTGCAGTTGCACAACCACATGGTAATGACTCTCCTTGTAGGGTTAAAGTTTGTAAAAGACTAACTTATTTGGGGGTTTAAGCCTTGTTTTCAAAGACAACTTGCAATCAGATTTACAAAAATGCTCCAGGCATTTAAAATGTCAGCTGGGATTTATGAAAACACCCAAGCAGATAGCAGATTAAGGTGCTAAATGTTTTTAAATGTAACCCATGACCTATGTTAGATCTGTGTCCAAGGTTTGGCAGAATCACCCACGGGAACCTCAAATTTTCTCTCTCTTTCTATTCTCATTTCTTCCACTGAGTATTACTTTTCCCTCTGGGACACATACATTATATTCTCTTTAAGTATTACAGCCTGAGATCTGGACCATGTACCTTTGGGTTCTGATATTTTAAGGAAGCATGCTCTGATTTGGAACACCTGGACTGTATTCGCTATGGGAATATTAAGTTGTATGCCAATGACAATAAATGCTGGCTGGCATTTTTGTAACTTCAAACCTCTCATGAACCATTTCAGAGAGCTTGGCTGCTCATCCATTTACCATGCAGTTTGTTAAGTGGGCAGCCTGACAGTCACAGTAACACAGCTCCACTTTTTCGTAACAGCTTTAGGACACCGTTTCTTAAATCAAGACAATGCCTTTGAAGTTAGTGAGAGAAGAAGGCAATGCTGGCTTTGTTACTGCAATCAGAAATGCAAGTTAAAAGTATGCATGCTAATTGTCAAGACTGTTACCATATAATTAGCATACATAGTCTGTACCCAAATTAAGAACTCCCTTGGAAGCTTATTATGTCCTAATATATACCCAGCACATATATACATACAGCTGTACTCTGACCCATACTCGCATTTCTTAGCAGCAGGGAGAAGCTGCATGAAGATCGGTGCTAATCTAGATAAACAATGTGTCTTCAGAAATCTATTCCACATATTAGACAATAGGCAATGCATGAAAGGACTCCAGGCTGATGTGAGTGTCCCTCTACTGAGAAACCTTTTAAGAGGAGAGATACTGCTCCATGCATCTGCATCTACCCTGAACTTCCAGAGCTTCTCTTCACACTCTCTTCAGCCTCAACCTTCAATGCTTCCTTCAGAGCTTCAGGTATGTGTCTACAGCTTATGTTTTAACAATTGTCATGTCTTCTGTGATGGTATCAGGCTAACACACAACCCACGCTAAGGACAAGGGCTTAAGCCAGCTCTGCTGCATTTTCCCTTTGTGGGAAGAGAGCGCAGGGGACGTGCAGTGTGCTCAGCCACATGTAATGATCCCTGAGTTTTCTGCATCCTGCCTGTGGGTCAGGACTGCAGTAGATCAAGGAAGGCTAACACAAATAGTCAGCATTACAACTCAAATTTATCAGACATTATTTCAAGGGTATAATTGCAAATACAGCAGCTGAACATCCGGCATGTGTCTTGGGACCATGGGATAGGCAGAAAGCAGACTGACAATATCCACTGCTGCCTCTCATTTTTAACTCCTCAGTTTTGTGTGCCTGGGGCCACCACAACTTTGAAATATCTGCCTTGTTTTTATTAGTATTCTTCTGTTAGCACTTTTCTTCGTATTTTTCAATAATATTCATTAGAAATTACTTGGACTTTGTGCAAGAAAAGTCTGTGCTTCACACAAGTAAACAAACCTTTATTAAAAGCTGTCCTATTAATTACACTTCTGTGACTGTGACAAGGTAAACCAAAAATAGAGTAGTGAAAAACAGAACCTCGAAAACATAGTCACTGGGACCAGTCATAAGATGAGGCATGAGAAACATCCGGCTCCAATGTCTGGGTACTTTAGTGCTAACTACCAGACAGACCAGCAGAACGTACAACAAACAGCCCATAGTCCCACCTGATATAAATCAATGTGATATCCTGGAGATGAATTGCATTGTTCCTCTGTCTGAATTTGGACCTGCTAATCCAAACATCCTCTCAGCATCACCGCTACACAAGTAGCAGGTGCTCACCAGCTTTTACAAACAGAAGCTACTTGTCTAAGGCTCCCAAAGAATTCAGTAGTTGGCCATTTCTTAATTAAACTGAACATGATGCTGCCGAAATACTGCAAAAGTATTAGAGATAGCTGCATTAAGGAGCTACTGGAAAGGAATCTCCTATAAATAGTGGGAAATACCAAGGAGGAAGAGTCCTTTAAGGGACTGCTTCACATGCATGCACAAACAAACGTGGTAGGTCAGAAGAGAAAAGAATGAACCCCTCAAGGCTACTGAGACAACAGCCAGCTCTGCCTCAAGCAGGAGCTTCCACTCTTTCCTTATACAATCCCCATCTATACAAGTTCACACACAGCAAAACCAAGCCATTGTCATAAATGACATCTCAGCTAACAAGCTCTCTAGTCACCACAACCAAAGATTTTTGCCATCATGCTGTTGTTTATCAAGTCCCTTAAGTGTGAAGTGCTCTTTACAGACTCCTCAAAATATTAGGTGTTAACCCATATGTCTTCATCTCTTCTGGCGGACAGGGATTTTGCCATTTGACTTTTTGCATTTTTTTTTTTTTAAACTACAAATCATCTTTAAAAACCCAGGCTAATACTCAGACTCACAGTGTTTTTCAGACTGTTGGTCTCATTGCATTTAGTTAAGCATGTAGTCTGCCTTTTTCAGGTAAACACTGCACTCCTACAAAAAATTCCAGAGATGCAACAAATGCAGCATATTATTCAACTACGCTAATTTCTTAGAACCTTATACCTTGCTCTTTCATTGTTCTTTCTCTTTTTAACTTGGGATGAAGAAACAAGACATAGCTTAATGCTTTTTTAAACATCTTTATATGTACAGCAAACACCTGCCAAAGACACTCTCTAGTCCCACGTAATACACTGTAATCTTCCTATCTCTCTTTACACGTGTGTAATTCCACTGACTTTAAATAGATCTGCTCTTGTTTCATGCAGGTAGAGAAGTGAAGCAACTGCAGTGGAAGAAAGCCAATTGGAAATGTCATTCATTGAAGGATTAGGCCAATGAATTCCAGGTATTATCTGTTACAGCAGCTCATTACTATTCCAAAACAGACAAGCAGCATTCAAATGTTTTAGGAGAACTAGAAGTACAAATAAAGAGAATTCATGTGAAGTGGTCATAAACAGATACAGAAGAGCGCTCCCTCCAGAACCTGTACTTCACAAACGTGCACCCACTACAATCCTCCTCCTAAAAGCTGTTGTTTTTTTCCACCTCTCCACAAAGATTTAACAGCAGAAGCAACATTGAGAGATCTCTCTGCCAAATTTCACTCTTTTTAAATCATGTGCTAAAGTCCATTTCCTAATGCATTTTAAAGTCATCATATAAACAATGAAAATCCAACATTATTAATCAAATGGTTTATAAAATTCAGCCATTTTCATCAGCCTGTAAACAGGGAGGCTAAATGGAGATATGGCAGGGTCAGCAGCCTGGTATTGAGAGGCCTTGGGTTCAATCTTCCTTTTGAGCCATAGACTTCCTGGGCAAATCACATACTTCCTCCTCAAACTTTACTTTCTCAGTTGTAAAATGTTGAAAGAAAATTAAGTGAGATCCTTAGACATCAGGGTAAGAGAAGAAGCAGGCGGACTGTCCATGGTTTCAAATAACACAATTAGTCTTATATTTTCATCTATTTTTTATACAATTTTATTTGCTGCCGAATTTAATAAATGCCTGTGACTCTGGATTAGGTTGCCCAGGTATCTCTGCATGACACTATGGTTTGGCTGTACCAAACTGCTATAGAATTAATATAGAATACAATTACCACATGTAAATATTAAAAAAGGCAGTGTTTTAACATCCAGTAACAGGGACACAGTGCTCTGTATAGGTTTGCTCCTCTCTGGTTCCTAGGATGACTGAAAGTAACTCTATCTGTATGGGCATAAGACAACAAAGGGCTGCACTTACAGGCTTTGACAACTCTACTATATGTGAGAACACATAAAGCCTCCTGCATTTTATTGTTAGCACAAAAGCAGCACTAAGGCAGCTCTCAGCCCATCAAAAAGGTAAATCAGAATAACTCCATCACAGTGTCATTATTCTCTGTAATGGTTTGATGCACTGAATAAGAGAGGACAGGCAAGCACAGGGACAAATCCCTGTTCACAGTTGCTTATACACTCAAAGCTGTGCCTCAACAGCACACCCTGAACATCTTACCTGTGCCACCAGGATACTGCCCTTGAGGTCAGCAGCTCACTGCACTAACAGCATGGCTGGAGCACCAGGGAAGAGCAATGCTTTTTCTTACCCAAGTTGAACACAGCATACCCCAGATTTTGCTGTTTTAAGGGTCCAGTTCAGAATGTCCTTTCTGTTTGGAAAGTCATTTATGTTGCATAAGCATACGCTCAAGTAATGAAAGAGTGGAAAAGCACACTAGCAAAAAATGTATCAATACCAGTATCTGGCTCAGCTTGTCGCCACCTTTTTACAGCTAGAGTTGAAAGTCAGTCCATGGTTCAGCCTGGGGCTGTCACAGAGCTTGTAATGTCTACTCAAGAGGAAAGAGTAGCAGAAACAGAGCCCTTCCTGTACCTTTTGGTTCCCATCCCATCAGATGCCAAGCAGTCCCAACCCCTCCTGAAGCCAAGACAGCTCAGAGGGAGAACTCAGCTGTCTTCCAGTAATAGCTGAAAATACACTGACTCCTCTCCAGAGTAACAAATTCTACACTAGACAACACTCCTTTATCAGTGTATTAAAACATATTATTCGTGCAGTCGCACTCAATGCTAGGATAAAATAAGTTCAGTCATGCCTAGTCCAGCCATACTAAAAGCAGTATCAACACCAAACACTAAGGCTGTACAATGATAACAGCAAGATGATTTATTATATACTGAAGAAGAAAAACAAAAACAAAAAGCAACCTCCCTCATGGGGATCATACAATATAAAGAAAATAAGGACAAATGTACAAAACCAACCTGACAAGAAGGCTCTAGATGAAACATATTCAAAGCACTTGCAAATGTCACTGGACAGATGCAGAAGGAAATTAAGTTGAGTCATTTTTCCCCTGCAACACACAAACTGAACAACTGATTTTGTTTCTTAAAATCCACAGTCCTGCCTTTACCTGCAGATACTTCACATAAAACACACAATTTTAGTTGTGATACATTTTTTAAAGGACAGATTCCCAGAACTATTGTTTGACCACATTTATTTCAAAGTGGATTTTATTTTCACTTCCAGCTTTATGCATGAGGCAAAGAAGCCAGATCAGCTCAAAACAACAGGAGCTAAGCCATCTCATCCAGCGCAATCTTGTATATATGGTTGTAAAATTTAAAAAACATACCACAAACCAAAAAACACATATATGAGAAAACAACATCAATATGAAATTCCTGAAGGGTTTCAAGGCTTGCTCCTACTCAACTGAAGTTAATGCACTTGAAATTATTTCAGACAGAGCAAGATCAAATCCTTACCTAATCAAATACATATTCCTCAAAAAGCAAAACCTTAAGAGTGTTGTAACCCAAACACAGAAGTAAAAGACAAATTTTAGCCACGTACCTTGCCTGGCACTAGCCAACATAATACATTTACCTCCGGTATTTTATTTACTCCTGACCTGGGCAAGATTCCCACTGGTTACAGTGCATATTACTTAAATAACGTAGCAAAAGGACATCATGCATTAGTAAGGTAAAATATGAACCCGTGCTTACAGCAATAGGTTTCCCTTCTAATGCCCTATAATGAGCATCTAGAAAAGGAAAAGACAAGAAGCTTTACAGAAAAAAATCTGCACTTAGTTACACTGATGACCATCCTAAGCAACTCCACAGAAGTTTTCAGGGTTCATTTTGATGTACATGAAGAAAGCAGAAAGTCAAAAATTGACCAGTGTTGGGCAAGATTATAGCACATCTACTATTAGTGCAGAATGCAAAATAACAGCTAATACTTAATACAAACAAAATAGTATCACTTTCAAACTCCTCACAAATACATGGATTCCACATAGGTTACTTCCTCACCTTAAAACAAATGCTTAAATCTAGTATGAATTTCATATGTGTCTAAAAATGTCATCCCATATCAAAGGAACGGGAGGGGAACAAACAAAAAAAAGAAATGGACATTTAAGAGAGAGTTGCAAGGAAATTCCCACTTTGTTTGGTATGAAAAGAAACAAAGACGATCCACTGACTGGATTTGGGGTTTTAATTCATTTGTTTTGGGGTGGGTTTTGTTGTTTGTGGATTTTTTTTGCATTAAGGGAAAGAAAACAATACGCATGTGGGAGGGAAAACATTTTCACAAATATAATAAATACCAGTTCTGATCCAAAAGCAAAGTGCGACATTGAGTTTTCCATTTAAACAAAAACAACCTACAGAATAATGCCTTCAATATTAACAAATCTATTAGTGGTCAGCACAGTAAAATAAATATGAACACAATGATTTATATTTTGTTTCTAGCAGCAACGGTTACTAACCTACTGGCCAATGTGACAGCTTCACAAAAGTCCTGTTTCTTGGGTTCAGTACTTTGTTTAACATGAAAAAAGATTAATTGGGGAAAATGGTACTACAGCTGTACGGTATTGTCCCCAGCCCATCTATGTCAAATCGGGTTTGGTCAGGACATGTTTTCAATATGTATTTTGAACACTGATTTATAGAACAGCTTTGCATTTCACAAGAAAAACAAAAAAAAAAAGAAGGCAGGATCCCCCCAGTTTCTCCATCTGACAGTAGGAGTTTGGATTGTCCTGAACCCTAAAGATATTAGTGAAGTGGGGTGTTTTCTCTTTGCAGTCAACAATTTTCTATGCTAGAGAGTAGGAAGACCACAAACTGTTAAGCAATGCTGAAGAGGGAAAGGAAAGCTTTGGTCACTTGTAGGGAAAGGCTGCAAAAGAGCTCTGGGGCAAAGCGAGTCTCAGCTGCTTACCCCAGCAAGAAATATCTTTCCTCCCATGTAGGAAACCTGTCCTACACTTGTCACTTGAGTCATGCTATCTGCTTTATGCCTGTTACAAGACCCACCACTTTGAAATTTTCCTTGTTGCATTCCCTTGAACAAAAGCAGATACAGACCTCTCTGTTCAGGGTAGACTCAAGCCATTCCTCAAAATCAGATGTGGCCCCATGCAGAGAGGAGCCTGCAGGGCTTCACAACTCATTCACACACCATCCCAAATGCACTAGCACTGGCATGTTGTGGCAGGTTTGCACCAGTTGTTACTAGGAGGTAACAGCATGCAGAGCGATCTGAGTTTTGACACCTCTGTCAGTCACTGGAAATGCCAAATGAGGAGCAGATCACTGGGCTGGGAGCAGGGGCAGCAACCAAAGCACAGTGGTGAACAGCTGATTTTTGGGACACATGAAAGCAAGCAAAAATGCCTTCCTAGCCCTAGCAAAAAACTTGACAACATTAGTACCTACAGCTCCTCCAGTTCGTATTACACAATATTGTTGTTCTGCTACTAATTGCAGCCTGTGGGAAATGCCACACTGTAATTTGCAGCAAGGGGGATGTTTAACCGTAATGCAGGGATTGCTCTGGTGAAGCAGTATGGTAAGGCTCATCCAATTCCCTCTGTCCCTGTACAGTGGTGTCAGACTGGCAAAACAAAAGGCAGAATACAAAGAGAAAACCAGAGCCCTTGTTTGACTGCAGAAGATGAGGGGAAAAAGCTGATGAAAGATTTTTGCAAGGGGAATATTCTTCAAGGCTGCACAGAGGATGAGCCAGGAGCAGGAAAGCACAGAAGAAACAGACTTACAGGCTGTCAAAAGTGCTCAATTAGTGCTTTGCAACTTGGACACATGTCCTCCTACCTTCTAACATGTTTCAGTGCACAAACCCTTGGGCTTTGCACAAAGGAGGGAGGGAATCCCAGTCAAGAAGATGCCCATTGCTATGCCTGTATCTGTAGGGCAATGATCACCATGGAATCATGCAGAGGGGTGCTTTTGTCCACTACGCAAGAGCTCACTTTGACTGCATTTAGGAAGACTGCATTAAGGTTGTACCTGATGCTCTCAGGTAGCTAAAGATAACAATACTCAATCTCTGAGGAGCAGCCAAGTGCAAGAAACCTTTCTGAGGTGAACTAGGAAGATGAAAAAAAATATCTGGATTTTTGGTTAGTTTATTCATTTTTCATTTTTTTTTAAGGCAAGCAGAAAATCCTCCTTCAATGCAAGAGGCAGGATCAGAATGGCAAAAAGGAAAAAAAAAAAGGTGGTGCTGGGGAGCTACCTTCACCATTACAAAGTAGGTAGAATTTATCCCTGGTAAAATACTACTGAAACCAATGGAGCTGCATTTAATTCAATGTAATGCCTAAAGAGGAATGAGAGACAAGCCATGATGCTTCATTTACCCCTGCTGTGCACCTGCCACTGAAGTCAATGAAGCTTTACCAGCATACAGCTATAGCAGCACAGTGGTGAATCAGGTCCAACAGGGGTTACCTACATTTTGCACTTGCCACTGAAGCCAATGTTTTAGAAACATTGTGAACTGGATTCCAAGCACAGCTCCTCACATCTACCCAAATAAGCAGAAAAATAAATGCCAGCCCTACTTCTGTTCCTTATCCCCTTTCTACTTTCGCTAAGAAAAATCAAAGCAGACACACCTTTGGGCTTGTCTGTCCTTAAAAAAGGCGCTTAACAAATTTCATGAATACTTCCGTATGGCCAAAAAGCTCTTACTCAAACAATCATCACCCCTGACATTTACATTCTACCTAACTTTGGATTTTTGATGGTCCCTCAAACAGCGAAGTTTACATCAAGGAATGGAATTAAAACCCATCCTGAGATGGGAAAAGATAGAGGGGAAAAAAAATCATCCAATATCGGTAGCTCTAGTGCAAAGGAGTATTTCAGCTCCTATTGGGCTTTGTCCAGGGAATGACATGAAAGTGAGACACACCAGTACCTGCTCCCCAGGGTCCATGCAGCCCTGCTCCCCAGAGCAATAGAGCTGTGGGCCAGAGACCAACACTTGCAAAAAAAATTACAGCTGACAGCTCCTTTCAACCGATTCTCAACCCTACTCAGTCTAAGGCAGAATCAGAGCAGAGCACGTATAACCTGAGCAGGTTTGCTTTCCAATTCACTTCATTGAGCCACTGAGATCCCCACATACTCTCTTCAGGGAGATGAGGTACAGCCATGATGTATTAAGGTGACCAGTCAACAACATTGAGAATCTTTTTTCACTGTTAACTGGTAGAATAGAGTATTTCTGAACCGGGCTGTATCAGCTGATATCCAATATCAGATGTTCAAATGAAATCTGCATCACAGAGGAAGCGGTAAGACACAAGACTCTCCAATGTCTTACACAGCTTTTCTACAGCAATGTGGAAAGAATATACTCTGGGCTGCTAATGGGAGCCACAAGCAGCAATTTGTGGGCAAGTACACCACCTAATTCATTCACTCACAGGCCCCATTCCTGCCTCACTTTTATAAGCTGCCCAGAGATTCAGTCTGCTTTAGGGAGGCATTCTGGAGCGCTGCTCTCTGGTATGCAAACAGGGGGAGTAGGCTTTGCACATGGTCCACCTGTGTGGTAGAACCACAGAGGTTCCCAGCACTTCTGGGCTTTGCATATTCATGCAGAACGCTGAGGAGCAGACAAAGTCCTCCCTGCCACTCAATACAACAAAGAGCCTTAGATAATTAGCAAACAAACATCAAAAACACTCATGTCCTGCACAGCGTCATCCTGCCAACTATGATAGAAAAAAAATCTAACCATACCATTAAGTTTGCAGGTGTTACATGTACAGCTCGAGAGCATACTCCTATCAAAGGGAGCACAAAGCAGGGCATGTGGCAAACAGCAGGCAAGAGACAAGCTGCTCTATTTGCAAATTACTACCAAGGGTGGCGCATCATTGTACATAGCCTAAGTTCTCCATCTCATTCCTATACCGCTGTTCAGACACCTTGCTTTTATGCTGTTTGCTTTCTAAGTGCTGTCTGAACTCCATCTCTTCACTGGCCCCGGCGTTGCACATGGAGCAGTAGAACTGGCCACTGGGGGTGACACACATGGCCAGATCCCGAGGAATCCTCTGGCGTGAGCGGGGATTGAAGTAGGGACCTGAGGAGTCAACAGAAAAGTCTGTTTTATCTACAAGAAAGAAAAGCTTGAGGCAGCTCAGTGACAACTTCTAAACCCAACAAACTATTAAAAAGCAGTCAAAGATTAGCTTCCTCAGCTGAGCCTGAACTTTATTTTCCTGTGGCTTTTCCACCGAGATCCAGATTTACAGGGATATAGGACACCAGGGAGCAGTACTTGCTGGTATTTTCTAAAGCAGTAGAGTGGGCTTAGTGCCCCAGTCTTATTAAGAATCAACAGGAATTTGAAAATTAGAAATAATTTAAGTGATGAATCGTTTCTTTATTTCTTAACCTTCCCATTCCAGAATTAGAACAATCTTTTGATTAAATTGCCTCACTTTAAAATTATCACAAAATAATATTTAATAGAACTTTAGAAGATTTATCTTTTCCACATGACAGTGATTAGAATGACGCAATTAAACCAGGCTTCACAAGGAATCAGGATTTAAACTAATATGTGCTCCTAACGCAAAATAAAAAAGATGCTGGGATGGACACTATAAAACACGGTTTAAATCATAGTAAAGAGGCAAAGTTAGTCTCTAATACCTGAAGAAGGACTCCACTCTAGGAACAGATGGTCCTGGAGGGAGGCTAACATGCTTTCACATTCTGGTCATGAGACTGCAAGTACAGGTTGATGTGCTACAGCAGGAGTTAAAGCACCTGGTCACTTGCCAAGAAAATAAAGCAGGAAAGTTGTTACCACTTAGAGTGGCCTTAGAGATAGGCAGATGGTAAATTACATACATACAGACTAAGAAAATGAACCAACAAGCAGGCTGACAAAACAAAGCAACTCCGGCAGCTGGGAAAACACAGGCAGGCATGAAGGATAAGCAAAGCTACAACCAGCTCCTTTCACAACCTGTCTTTGCTAAAACAGACCTCAGTAAGAAGAAAAGCAAGTCTGCTTATTATTCATTATTATTCCAACTATAGAACAGATGCAACTCAGTTACCTGTGTTGTTTTGAACCGTATACATATTTCTTCTGTTCTGCATCATTTTATATTCATTCCCTTCTTTCCTTGCCCTTCGTTTGCCTAGTTCTGATGCATCCCTGAAGATTAAACAAATGAACAGCTGTAATTCAGTTTTCTGAGGAAAAAAAAAAAGCCAGAGACACTGCCACATGCTTTCACAGCCTGAGCGTGAAGTTGAACAATACCTACGAGAATGAGTTACTCTGTGCTTCTGCAAGACGCAGCCGCTTAGCATGATTTTTCCCTTGGTAGTGAGCCTGTGCCACAGCTGGAGAACTAAATGAGGCATCACAAAGCTTGCAGTAATCATTCTCTGTGGCCAAGATCACTCGACCACCTGGTTTACTGGATCCCATCTAGCAGCAAAAGGAAAGAGAGCATATGAAACGCAAGAAGGTTAAATTGTTGAAATATCTGAATCACAGGGACTGAGATCAGTATCACCACCAGGCAGCAAGAGAGCTGGAATTAGAGCATATGGATTAGGGCACTCTCAAGTAACTCCCCAAAGTGTTCTTACACAAACTTTTTTTCCCTGCCTCAGCCTCCAGAAGAATCTGCAAAATTGAGATCTAGGAAAATCCCTAGCCTCATATGGAGAGGAAAGCACTGTGAACAAACACCCTGTACCTTTGCCATAGCTACAGAGGCTTGTTTACTCCACAGCAATGATTTATTTCCTCTACTCCTGATTGCCGAGAACTGATGAACAATAACATTCACACTAAGGAAGACCCACCAAAACATAAAGGTGCTCCTCTCTCCTATTTACAGTGTACCTAATCTCTGTGCAGTATTCTGTCCCTACACAGCTCCCTGACCACATGAAAAGATAAAAAAGAAACAACAAAACAATAGTAGACATGGCAAACCTCTGATCCTTACCCTTCAGATAGGAGGGCACCTGGATCAAGACTTCAGAGGAAGAACCCAGCCTCACATGGGTAGCTCCTGCCATATGAAGAATACCTTGCGTGTCTAGTCAGATCACACACTGATTGGGGCAGCAACCATGTTTCCTCAATGTGTATCATCCAGAAAAATGTGCTTTGTGAACAGTGCAGCTGCAGTGATTCATACAGCCATGTCACTGCAGCATTTGCCAAGTTGAGTTTTTTTCACATCTGCTTTGATACTGTGCAAGCTTATAGATACAAACACACAATTCTGACTTCCACCTTACATGAACGCTCATGTAGTCCCAGAGCAGTCCTTTTATTGCCATGGACCATTTCCTCCACCAAAACCCACATCAGATACCCTGGTAGGTACAGAACCCACATCCCACTATCTAGGACTGGACCTCATGTCATCCCAATTAAGTTCTGTGAGTTCTGAATGGTTAGGGTTAGAAAGAACCTTAGGATCATCTAGTTCCAACCCGCTGCCATGGGTAAGGGCACCTCACACTAGACATGTCCATTTACATGGAACCAATTCTCCCTCTGGCAGCTCCAGCAACATGTTCATCTGCCACTTACAGATGCTCTTTACTTTTCTACAGACAAAAATGGCTTATGCTTTGGAAAACAACAGACACAGCTTTGATCTCTGCAGCTGAGCTTCTAGAAGAGGAAAGCAAAAATCATCTCTTTTGCCTCTAATGTGCCCAAGACAGAATTAATCTGGATCACTGAGAGAACAACCTGTTTACCCTACACACAGGAACGATCACCTCAAAAGGAACAATGTAAGAGGAATTAGCCAACAGCCCTGGGCAATGGGTGTAGGAGCACCTAAGCACTTTTTCCTTGCAGGCTTCCCTCATGCAATGAACGGATGATTGTGCAGAGCAGATGCCACACCCTCCTGTCCAAACCCAGCTCCAGCAATGCTGTTTTATACCTGCCCTTAACCATACTCAGCAGCACATCAGATTTACTAGGAATCAATGTATTTGCCATGCAGAAATAGAATATTTCAAGTCCAATATTCTGCTGCGACAGCAGATCAATACCTGCATCTTCAAAGGAAAGCAAACAGCTCACAACAGGATGTTTCCATCCTCCTGTGCCATCAACACATCCCAGCTCCTGTGGTAATCCTCAGAACATGAGATCTAGTTATCCTTACTGGGGGTTAAGTGACAAGTAAGCAGCACGATCTCAGTCACCCTCCCCTGCCTTACCTGAGTTGGAAGGGAGACAATCTGAGGTGGGGCAGGCTCAACCAAATTACTCATTCTGGCAGATGCTGGACAGCTATTGGCAGCATAGTAATTTCGGAGTTTTTTACTGTGGTTTTTACCCTGGAACAAGAACCCAGATTAATCACTGTTCTAATAATAGCATCTTACACTGAAAGAAAAAGGATCCAAAGACCAAAATAAGAAAATGGCCATGAAAATGGCAACTCAGGTAAAGGAGCTATCACTCAGAAAATAACTCTGAACTTGAGAGATGCTGGAATCTCCCCGTTCTCCCAGATGCGAATCAGCCAGCATGATTTGGCCTCGTTTTCAACTAATTTTCCCAAATCAGTAAGGTTACAATTAGTTCATAATCTGTTTGCATTTCACATAAACCCAGTATTTCACATTTTAAACATGAAACATTGCTTTGCATAGTTTTAGCCTGAACACATACAATTCTTCATGACAGTGCAAGTATGAGTTAAAACATGAGATTGAATGTAAAACCCCCTATTTCATATTTTATTTTTTCTTGGAAAACATACACTATAGCTCTTTTTGGTGTCCTGGCAGAGCTCCATGAGACTATGTACATGCATTGTGGATATATAGTAAGGCATATGTGTAAATGCAAGTTATGTAGGATAAATGCACTTCTGTCCCCCCTCATGGCAGACATACTCCAGAAATTAGTGTAACACTAACTCATCCTACCCCTTCACTAGCAGGATACCACTTTTTCAGGGCCAACAGCAAATCTGAGATCCAGGTCTGGTGCCCTAAGGATACGGACAACCACTCTTTTGGATTCACTGGTAGAGAAGGTCACCATATCTCACACAAATATAGCACTAGGCAAAGAGGGTACTGGTAAAAAGGGGTAATGTAAGACAATGACATATTCAGTCTCTCAGCAAAGAAGTATAGGCAAATAGTCCCCAACCTATTTTAGACAAATTAACCAGATCAGCTTGAACAAAATTTATTTGATCTCAGCTGACCCAGCTGATGGGAGTGTTTGCATAAATGGCACCAACACATCAGTGGTGTGCATAATCTCAGCAAGGAGACAGTAATAAACACCTGCAGCAGCCCCCCTTCCTAGTGAACAGCTGGATCCAGCAGAAAACATCTGTTCAGGCCCTACAAAATCATGTCTGTGGAATCAGAAGTTCAAGTTTATTTGGAAGAGGTGAAAAACAAATGAAACATCAGTGTCTGCTTTTTCACCCATGCCATCTTGGTACTACTTCTCTGTGGACAAAGTTTTTGCAAAACGCTCCAGTGATGACACCTTAAATAAAATCACTGCAGCACATCCGGATGATCAGCAAATTCAAACAGGGTGAAGACATGCCTACAGAGCAGCCATAGTCCATTAAATGGTGCAGAGGTAGCTCCAGGTGAGCTAATTCAAATGCTGCTGCTGCTGTGCAGCCACCTTACACTCAAAACTCCTTTGAGGGGGGTTCACCCTTGTGCATTAGCCCATGTTAAGCTCTGTGCTACCACAGCAATGCTACTGGCAGTGAACATGGCAGCACAGGTACATCTACGCAAGCTGCAAATGCAGCAGCCCTGAAAGCTGTGCCTTCTCCTTACCTGGTAATGAGCCTGGGCTTGTTGTGCTGAATTCAGAGTGACATTGCAAAGCTTACAGCACAGAGGCTTACATAGTTCCTCCAGTACAGGGTCCTGCTCCACCACCTTTGCAAGCTCTTCTTCTTGCGTGTGATGAAAGGAAGGCCCCAGTCCAAGAGATTTTGGTGGGGACAATGGTGAGGTGGCTTTTGGCCTTGTAGCCACTGACATAGGAAGAGATGAAGGCTTCTCAGAATGAGGAAGAAGTCCTGCTTGCTGTAGAAGAATCATTGGCCAGGAAGACTGTGGGCATGCAACTTCTGAAGGATGAGGAGTCGTCTTCAGATCTAGACCAGAGACACACAAATGCTGAAATAAGCAGCGCTAACAAGATTGACCATCCCGGGGACAAATTCTGAAACTTCATTGCCTCTACCTTATGACTTTTCACAATGCCAAAAAGGATGAAGTCAGTTTATAACACTTTATCCCACAGGAACAGCAGCATCCCAGACAAGCAAGGACAGATTAAAAGATACACATGTAAGGGGAATGAATCCAAAACGTAGTTGTTAGTACCCCATGGCACCCTCCTGGAGTACTAATCACCCATACTGCTCAACCAACAGCATGCACATCTCACTGCTCCGTGACTATAAGATGTGACATACAACCTGCACAGCACATAAAGCTGTGTTAATGGGAATAAGAGGCATACAGCTGTTAGCCACATCCTCTTTTGGCAGCTCAAGGTCAAGCTCAGACTCCAAAACTTAAACAAGTATTACAAGAACTTGCCAATGATGTACTGATGTACAAAGATCTACAAGTATAAGCCAACAATGACTTAAAATGAACCCAAATATTTCAAAATAAATTATATATAGGTATATATAAAATGCATACCCACATACACATCATCCCTCAATTACTCCTTCCTGAGGAAAGATATTATACAGTTTACTTTTCTCAAGTAAATCAACAAAAGTGGACAAGTGAGAATCAACTTGAGCACACCTTACTGTTCACAGTCAAGACTCAAGGGCTCTTTGACATGGTCTTGTAGAATGACCTTGAGCTATTTCTCATGTTTCCTTTGTTAACTACAACCAATGCAACATTTAGAGCCACATCTTCTGCAAAATGGACAGCTTATCCTATGTTAACCTTTATTCAATTATTTCTCAGTTAATACAAGTTCTTAGAACTAACCCTGCACTTCCAATAAGGAGTTCAGAGAGGCTTATTTAATTAAAAGTCTATAAATCACATTTAAAGCCCCGATGAACATTCCTAGAATAATGCAGAGTAGTGATATTATGAATCAAGGCACAGCTACTTTTGTTAATGTCTTATTAGCTTCTTATCATAACAAATCCTATTCACAGCTACACTGGGATCAAGAGAAGCATTATCTTGGCCTTTGCAGATCACTTCCAGCTAGGGCTGCATTGGTAGCAACTATGTTTACGCTATGGGCTTTGTTCATTTGTTTAAGCAAACGGTGAGTCACATCTACATTTTAAAATAACACTTCTGGAAAATTAGGGGAAGGTAAATAAAATGCCAAGAGGAACTCTGCTCCCGAGTCACTTTTGAAAATAGAGTTCAACTTCAAACACATTTAGGAACCTGGAGAAGAGTACAGCATTTATCTGGGATAACTTCTGGAGTTTTCAATGTACTAAAATTAGCAGGAGATAAATACCTTACTATATTCAAACTATGGTAAATCCTAGCTGATGCCTGCATTTTTAGATATCCTATTACCTTTGAAAATCTGGACAGAATCTTTTGTATTAGCAAAAATAAAAAATTTAAAAAAATTAATAAAATCAGTGGGACCAACGTGTTCGAGTGACAAAAGCATTTCTGAAATGTTCACCTCTAAAAATGGACTTCCAAATATTACAAGATTGGAGGCAGTTATTACTATAAACTAAAGGTAAGAAAAAAAAATAAAGGGAAAAAAGAAACCAAAACAAAAAAAAATAAGCCAGCATGCATTGCCCTGGGGACAGGCTTTTAAGACAGCAGTAGAGTCACCAGGAGTTTTTATGGTTTTGAACAGCCCGTCACTACCAAAGCTGTGTGAAATTCCAGGAGAACTATACCTAATGTGGTGTCACCATAAAGACAAAATCAAATCCTCTACCATGAAAACTAACTGAAACAAGATAAAATGGAATCCACCACAAAGGAGGAAGGGGGCACACAGGAATGGAGTGGTGCCAACCATTCACCAGCATTCTAAATTCTGTAGTGTGACCTGACTTCTCTCCAACTTTCAGCATATGGGTTCCTGTTTAAACAGAACTATGGAAGATTTTGCTGTCTTTAGTTTCCTCAAGTAGTACTCTGTAGATAGTCTAATTCATTTCAGTGGGGCTACAGATGGAATATGTTCATGCTCATGACAGTTAAATATATCATAATGCAGACCTATTGTGGTAGTTTAGATGAGCTATGCATGCAGGTAAGCATGCCATCCAATTTCATAGTTTTATTACACCAGCATATTGGGCCTCCTACCTTAAAATGGGAGTAAATTATAGCTAAATACTTCATAGAGCAATATAAAGAGATCTGCAGTAAATGGCAGTTGGGATCCATCTGCTTAATTTTGCATGAGTGTTTGTTGCACTTAGTCTTCCATATGCAACTGTCACTGATGGGATCTGCCATATACAAGAGAGGACACAGTACTTAGAGGATCTGCACACACAGGGGAAAAGGTATAATGTAATATCGTTAGAAAATCTTTAATTGTAAAGTCATTTACTGATTCTTAGCGTAAGCAGTAATCTGAAGGTAAAATTAATGCTATATGGGTAATTTTGGTTCTAATGGTTCCAATTTTAAAATTAGAACCTCTTGACTTGGCACAGGCAGCTGATTTACTTCTAACAGTGACCTTTCACCACTGAAATTGTTCAAATTATGTTGATTTCTTTCTTACAGATATTATTTAAGAGGGGAAATAAAAAAAAAAAAAATCTAAAAAAATCTACTTCAGCTTATTTACATGCTCTTTTAACCCTCCACTGCTGGTTGTCACAGATACCTTGTCCAGGAGAAGGTAACAGGACATTTTTGACTCTTCCTTTCCTTTTACATGAGAAGCTGCAAAATCTTTACACTGCAAAACAGCAAGAGAATCTCTGCCACAAAGGACTCATAACAGTACAGCCTGAGGCAGGGTAAGGACCTGCAGCTCTCCAGGGTGAGCTGAGGAGACATTCTGCTCAGGACAGCATCTCTCAGATCTCAGCATGCCTTCTCCTACAAGCTGTACAGGTGGGAATATACTTCCACTCTGTGCCAGTTGTCCTCAGGTGGATACAAGGGAAACAGGGGCACAAGCTCTCCACATTACATTCAGGTTGGGGCATCCCAAGCACAGCATTGAAGGAGAAGACCCAGTCTCCATTCCCCAAGTACCACAGCCTGGTAGTAGCCAGGCACTGCTGCTGGCACAGACAACAGGGAACAACCTCACGAACTATCAACGGCACATTTCTGGAAAAGGAACTGGAATAGCCTCAAATCACCATTTGACGGGGAAGGCACATATACACAACATGACCATCCTTGGCTATAAGCAGAAACCACAGTGAGACATCTACATGCCATATGTTCCCAGCAAAATTAAATTTTAAATGCAGTTAAGGCAACTAATAACAGTGACAGAAAACTATACAAGCGATGAACAAGTTGTAGGTTTTGTGGTGTTTTTTTTCAAGACCAGAAACTTCTCAAGTCCCCTTTTATCTCAGGATATTGACATCACTTAACCTAACTAACAAGTTTCCCTTTGGCCATAGACTAGGCCTACAGAACTTCACCGTGAAGGGCAAGGTCATTTTATAATGCTGTAGTGACGGAAAACAGCACACAAAATCACATCATACACAATTCATCAAGGTATAAGCCCACTAACCCTCTGCTGATGAGGATACACATTTAGTAACCCAGAAACAAGAGGGCATTTAGCAGCTCTTACATCAGCATCAGAAACCACAGTGTAAAAAAGAAAGAGACCTTGAAGATCATCTAATTCAAACTTCCCTGCCATGGGCAGGGACACTTCCCACTAGACCAGGTTGTTCAAAGCCCCATCCAACCTGGCCTTGAACACTGCCAGGGATGGGGCAGCCACAGCTTCTCTGGGCAACCGGTGCCAGTGTCTCACCACCCTCAAAGTAAAGACCTTCTTTCTAATGTCTAATCTAAATCTTCCCTCTTCAGCTTAAAGCCATTCCCCCTTGTCCTATTCCTACATACCCTTGTAAGAGTCCCTCTCCGGCTTTCTTGTAGACGCTTCAGGCACTGGAAGGCTGCCCGAAGGTCTCCCCAGACATCTCATTTTTGTAAAGCTGCACACCTTTAAGAATGGGCGATGGGGTCTGAGGAAGAAAGCAAGCCCGGGTATGTACTACCTTGTAATACCTTGTAAAACCGCAACTTAAGCAACTATTCACAGCACCAACACACGATTTCGGAGACGCAGAAATGAAAACCAGCATAGAGCAGAGGCAGATGCAGAAACCCGCATCACCGAAGCGCCGTAAGCACTCCCGAGCACGGCAGAACACCGCGAGCCCCCGCAATGAAGTACCGACCGGCAAAGCCGAAACCAGCCCCGCTAAAACAACGGCGCCCCGCGCCGAGGCCACGCCATGTGCCCGCCGCGCACACCCCGGCCCCCCGCGAACCCTGCCGCACCTACCACCGGGCGGGGGCTAAGGGCGACTGCCCCAGCCCCCAGCGGCACCGCAGCCCCGTACGGCTGCACTCAGCCCCCGAGGCCGCAGAAAGAGCGGGGACCGGCAGCGCTGCCGGGACCAGCTGCAGGAAGTGACGGCAGCGCGGCGGGGAGGGTCCTGAGGCGGGCGCGGAACGTCGTGCGCACCCACCGGCGCTGCGGATAGGGTTTGTTCCGCCGTGGATCGGCAGTGTTGCGGGAAGGGGGCTTCGCAGCCTTTGCACAGGGGACTTTCGGTGGCGTGGGACCCTGTCGTGCTGTGGCCCGTGTTTTCTCCTCCGGTCCCAGGTACTTCCCGTCTGACTTCTTGTGAAGTGAGCTCACAGAGCCGCACGACCGTTGAAACACGGTATTTGGCATTACAGGCTATAACGTAGTATAAAAATACTGAACTGTTCGGTCAGATCACACAGTCGTAGAACGGTTTGGGTTGGAAAGGACCTTAAAGCTCTTCTAGTTCCAACCACCCTGCCATGGGCAGGGACACTTTCCACTAGACCTGGTTGTTCAAAGTCCCGTCCAACCTGGCCTTGAACACTGCGAGGGATGGGGCAGTCATAGTTTCTTAGGCAGCCTGTCCCTGTGTCTCACCCTCCTCAAAGTAAAGAGCTTCTTTCTAATGTCTAATCTAAATCTTCCCTCTTCAGTTTAAAGCCATTTCCCCTTGTCCTATTCCTACATGCCCTTGTGAAAAGCCCCTCTCCAGCCTTTCTGTAGGCCCCTTTAGGCATTAGAAGGCTGTTGTAAGCTCTCCGTAGAGCCTTCTACAGGCTGAACAAAACAAATCCTAAGCTGAGGTTTTGTATAAGGTCATTTAGTGGTCTTTTATTATTTTTTTTTCCTAGCACCTTTTGTTTATGACAGCAGAAACTGCCATTAACCTGTACTTGCACATGTAAACATCTTCAGTTTACTCCCGCTAATCATAGCCAGGGTTGAGTTAATTTCCCCTCAACCACCGACGGCGGCAGCGTTGGCCTCGCCCTCCCAGCTGGGCGGCCCTGCCTCAAAGCACAACAGCATCTGCAGATTTTCCCCCATTGCACTGGAACAGGAAAGCACCGAGAAGTCTCTGCAAGCTGAAACCATCACCAAGACTTCCCGGTAGCAATCAGCCAACCCACCCGAGAACCCATTAGTTAGCCACTAATTTTTGTGAGATCTTAGAAAAATTCACATTTATCGGATACATCACTACAGATGGGAATCACAAACCGCGGCAGCTTCCAGCAAGAGCAGCGAACGGGCGTTTCACAGCCGGTGTGTTAACGGGTGACACCGCTGTCACACGCTCACTGGGGTGAGCTTTGCTGTCACCGGCGAGGCTGGTGCTCCATCGTCAGTCATCTGCAGCAGCTCAGACTGGCCACGGCAGCGAGTCGAGTGTATGCTGGCCCCGGGCAACGCTTCAAGAAAGAGAATTCTGCTGCGGTGATAAACACCCCTTGGAAAACATGGTGACTGGCCGAGATGCCTCACTCGTCAACCACTTAGGCCACCCCCGCCACTGCCTCAACGCCAGCCCCACTTGTTGCACCTAATGTTGGCTCCCCCCGAGCCCAGCAGTCTCCACACCCCTAACCCCGTGCCAGCATGGGCCGACGCTTTAAACGCCGGCTGACTCTGCTTTCGCACGGGTGAGGGTACTCGCTTGGCGGTCGCTCTCCATTAAAGGGATGCCGGAACCGCTTATAGTGACTGCATCCCGTTAGCGGCTCAGGTTTTAAGGAAAACTGGGCGTTGCTGGCGACCGTCTGGGAACAGGGACCGGGTGCACAAACCCGTCCTTAATCCTTCTCTGTAGTGCAGCGTAACCGCCATGAGGCGCTTGAAATAAGCTTGCAGCAGTAAGCTGGACAGGCGCCAGTTCGGGGTATGACAAGCCCGCTGTTCAGAACGCTGGCTTCCAGCCAGGCCACCTCCAGGGCCCCGGTGCCGTAACCGTTCGCACGGGCAGCTGCGCCTGTGCCTGTGCCGGCCTGGCCGCCCCGCTAAGTGGCGCGGCAGGACACCACGCGAGCATGCCGCCGCACGGCCTCACTGCGCGGTGCCGTGGCATCACCCCGCGCCCCCCTCCGGCACTCAAGACGCGACCCTAGCCCCTACCGCTTCTTAGCCGCGCACGCGCGTTGCTTCCACCTACGCTCTGCGGTTGCACTTCCGGCGGGAGACACCATCCCCATCCGGGGTCAGGGCCCCGCTCCCTTCCTGTTATTGCCCGTGCGGGAGGCGGTTCTTTGGGATTGGGGTGGTGGCTGTCCGTGTTGTTTCCGTTCGCGCTCGGGGGTACGGTCGCCAAGCTTAGGGGGTGCAGTGGCGGCTGCAGCGTGGCTCAGGTATTGTGAGTGCTGCGGAGTGCTGCCCAGCCCTGCCCAGTGGGGCGGTGGCTGCGGGCCGGCTCGGAGGCGGAGAAGCCGTGCCTGTGAGGTGAGTGAGGCGAGGGTCGGGGCCGCCTGGCTGTTTCGCAGCACGGCAGTGCTCTCTGGGGCGGACGGGGCTGCCCAGCAATCTGGCTGGGTGGCGGCCGAGGGGAGTGCCGCTTTTCATTGACTGGGGAGTCCCGCTCGTCTTCGGTAGCCGGAGAGGCAAGCGCGGCCCTCGGGTGACTGGGGCGGGCGGTGGAGTGTTCTTGGGCTGGCAGTCTTCCGCCACATCACGGTTTATGGGTCTCCTCTCCTAGAGTCGTAACTTGGAAGAGGAAAAACCAGTGGCTTGTCGCTCTCGAGTGCGGTTCCCTCCACCCCTGAAATGTAGCTGTTTTCTGTAAATATGCTTCAACAGACCTTGTGTTGGGAGTGCATTTGGGGTCACGGTTCGGCTAGTTACTGGCACTGGCAGGAGAGGGTCTTCCCACTCCGTGTGTGTGTTTCGAGCTGCAGCCGACTTACTGTAGTAGTGTCCCATTTTTGCTACCTGTAAAAACGTCTTATTTAATACTATGCAGAGTTCTGCCTTTATTGAAATTAAATATGAAACTGCTTTTTCTTACTAATCCTTATGTATTTTCTAGTAGGCTGAACGCTTACAAAACTTTGACCAAGCTAATCCGAACTGCATGCTTGTTTTTCTTCAGGGGTTTTGTTGCTGGTTTTGGTATTTGTGAGGTTAAGATATTAGACTTATTGCATCTGCTGTTGTTACTTACATGTTTCTGTATGTTTTTTTTCTTTCGAATTTTTACTGACTTTAAGAACATGATTGAACAGAAATTATTTATGAACAGTGTTTGTTCAGAGCAAGCACAAGGAAAATATATGTTTAAAAGTGGACAGTATGGACTATAAATCTTTGCTTAAGCTAATTCTGCAGTCATGAGCATTCTGCAGCAAACTTATAAAAGAATGGAAAACTGGAGTCTGAATCTGGATTCTGTAGTACTTAATAGAGGAAATCTGGACTCTGTTCTGTCAGTTACCTGTACCCTTACATCCTTCCTTTGAGCTATAGCAAACTTTGAAATTCATCCCATTGGATAAAATTAGAACTTTCCCATCATAATTTGAATCATTCCTTGATTTATTCCACATCACAATTAATTTATAGAGCTGTTCTCATGCTTGTTGCGTCAGTTGCTTCCATGCTGCAATTCCATAATGCAGTGTAATAATCAAAGTCCAGCTCTTGTTGTATGTAAATATTGTTAGTTCCTAGTAATATTTCAGTACTTGGGATGACAGACTTTAATGGTTTGTCTGCTGTGAGAAACTGGATAAGTTTTCCTGAAATAAATCTCCATGTGAACCTAAAGTTTCACAGTAAGTTACTTTATTCTCAAAAAGTAATACTGGCAAACTTTTCCATAGTGGTTAGTTATTTGGAAGCCTATTTTGGCCAATGTCATCACGTAGGCAAACAAGGCATTAGCCAAGCTGGTAGTGCTTACAGAGGAATTTATGAAACCACACAATTCCTTATGTGATCCATGAAATATTCTGCTTTTTTATTAAGACAATAAATACAGTGATTTCAGAGCTGCAGTTGAAATTTGATTGGAGCAGATACCTTGCATTTCATGGGTGTTAACTTGATGCCCTTAGCAATCTGGAGACAGTTTTGTGTTGTTTTCCAAAGCATGCTAAGCCTAATGTACAAGTCCATACCTTCAGTTGTTCAGCTGCTTCAGATTTTTGTGTTAGGCCAGATTTGTTTTGCTGCTTGTTGCAACTTACTTGCGTGAATAATGACACCGTTATGTGTTTTGGTTTTTTCTGGACTATTCTTTGGGAAAGGTGGTGTAGCTGGGCTGTTTACAAAGCAGTTTTGCTTTATTGGAAGTCAAAAAGTGGCTCAATACTTAGTTAACTGTTTCTTTGACCATCAGGTCATTCCTGCTTTCTGGAAGCAAATGGATACTTCTTATTGGCTAAATCACTTTTTAAAAGCTGCTTCAGAATAGGAATTCCAACAAGCAGAGGGTTCACACTTTATCCTCATGCTGTCTCACAAGACCAATAAGAGGTTTCCAGTTATTGGAAGAAAAATCACGCCTTTTAAAGATGTTATTGCATAAAGAATGACTTTGTGCTCACAGTAGCTCCTCAGATTCAAATGCAAATTGTGCTTTTTAATGGCTTGGTCATACGTAATACAACTTTGAGAAGGCTTGATTATCATCATAACTTGAATTTCTTGCAGAGTTAAAATTATCTATGAATGGATGGACAAGAAGCTTAAGGCTGAAATTTAGTCTGCAAAACAGTATTTTCTTAAAAATTTTGTACACAGCAGGTCAACCCATTATGTTGTCTCCAGGACTTCTGGTACAGATTCTCTGGGAAGCAGGAAAACGCAGGTATCTGAACACCTTGCAGGTATCGGTCACTTCCAAATAAAAAATGGTTGCTGTTGCTTTTCTTGCCTGTTTTGGGGGACAGGAAATCTGGGGATGATACATTAATTCCACATCATGCAAGAAATACTAGATCTTGTAGATGGTTCTCGTACATGGGTTTGCTTTGCCTTGTTGAGTACATTAATGAAGACAAAGATTGCAGTTAATAGGAAGCTTAAAAAAAATGTATTTGGGCTAGGGAAGGCTAATGGAATTTTTAACATTGATACTAATAAGGAAGCTGATTCTTATGATTTATAATTGGAATGGGAATAATACTGCAAAACTAGGCTTTCCAG